AAGCTCAAACGAACTGAAACTCAACTACAATGAAATAATAAATGTGAACAGAGAGGCTTTAATATAAGTTGATTAAAGTATGGTTCCCTACACCAACAGGACATTTCTAGACAAGACAACAACTGACTCAATGCCCTGCAAGGTACAAAGAAATAAGGAAAAGTCATTATAAAGTTTGGTCTGCTTAATACTGAACTATATGTGATAAACAACAACATCTCAACAATTGAAAAGAAATTGTACATGAGGTCTTTCTAGCCTTTAAAAGCCTTTACAACTGATAAACCAGTAGAATCAGAGTCTGTTTATGCAAATTTGAAGTGGTAAGCAAGTGGATTCTCGAGAAGAGAATCCATCGTATTCTTGAAAAGATTGTACGAAGAATAGYCTGATGAYGGCAATTCAAGCACAGCTCCACATGTGTGAGCTCTTGGAAGAGGTTGAAGGGAAGACGGTTTGAAAAAGGCTACTTTGATTTCGTCTACCACGATGGTGCTGCTTGCTGTGCAGTATCTTAGAAACTCTTCGCATCTTTTCTTGTCAGCCGAGTTGATATATCGCTTCWAGTAACTGAAGATTTTTGCTTCTTCTTTAGTCAGCTCCTCCTGTCTTGTGATGACCAATGATGCTACCTTACTTGGTTCTGGAGCTTGCCTGCCATAAATTCCATCGATGTCTTGTTCAGAAATATTCTGCCAAATGTTTTTTCCTTGCTGGCACGCCATCATTCCTGACTTAACCTTGGACATAGTGTGCAATGGGAGCTGTAATAACTCATTATTTGCGAGCTCGAGTACAATCTTTCTTGCTGTTGTTGGTGTATCAGGATTTATTTGCAACCCTACTCTGTCTTCCAAGTCAATGATAAATTGTTTGTCTTCATTATCCAGACTTGAGGAACTCAATATTTCTGCTAACCTGCCTCCCTCATAAGAGCCAAGATACTCCATGTAACTATTTAATAAGAGATCTTCAGATACCTCCTCTTCGCCAAGTAGCATGGCCTGGATGTATGCTCTGTTGATGCATACAGGGAACATGCCAGTGAGTATAAAAGAATGGTGAATTACTTTTCCGATCACGACTAGATCTTCTTTTGAGATTCCACTGTGTCTTGGAATAARAGAATAATCACTGCCTTCAAAGAACCTAGTAGAACCTTGTTTCCAAAACAGTGAGTAAACTTCCCTGCTCAGACCACCATGATCAAATCCCAGTTCACCTTTGAAATTGAACTGCAGAACACAATCCAGCATATTGTCATTACAATACATCTTCAGCAAAGCTGTTACAACATTCCACCTTTCCAAKTCCACAATCWTTGGTGTGTCAAGGTTTAATAGCTGTTGAAGTGCATTTTTTCTTTCTTTTTCGATGGAATCAGACTTGTTCTGAAATGAGAGGAAAAAAATTAAAAAAACACAATATTATACCAGGCCCTTGTTTGTTTTGTATGAGCAA